AAACTAGACATATATATATATATATTAATAAAGTGAGATAGTCATTTTCCAGTAATTCTACTCTTAAGGTGTGTATTTCCTTGTAGAGGTTGGCATAAAGTAACCTGAAATAAGAAATTAGGATTGTATTTGTTGAAACTAGGACAGTGACTTAGTCAATAAAGTGCTTGCCGTATAACCATGAGGATCTGAGTTTGGATCCCCAGTACCCATGTAAAAGCTGCAGTGCATATCTGTAGCCCCCACAGGGGATGACAACTGGAGACAGACTGATCCCTGGAGCTTAGCAGCCACCAAGCCAGCCTAGCCAAACAAATGAGCTTTAGTTTTAGTGAGAAACCCTGTTTCAAAACAGGTGGAGAGTGATTGAGGAAAACACTTAACATCAACTTCTGGTCTCCACATGAATGCACAGTATAGTTTATTCTTTGCATTTTTCTACATGTTCAGTGTTTTTGATATTTTGCGTATAAAGAACATAAATGTAAGGAGGGCAGAGAAATTAATGAGGAAAAAAAGATTAAGAACCTGGCAAATGATGCTTTTGACAGCTATGGAATAATACCTAGTTTCAATGCAGTAAGTAATAGACTTTATGAATTTTATTTTGTGAGGCATATGTGCTAGCTTTAAGAAATTCAAAAATAATCAGGTGTGGTGGTGCACACTTTTAATCCCCACACTCGGGAGGCAGAGGCAGGCAGATCTCTGTGAGTTCCAGGCCAGCTGGGGCTATAGGGAGACCCTGTCTAAAAAAAAAGAAGAAGAAGAAAGAAATTCAGAAATGTTTATAGTGATCTGTGCTTGTAGTTTCCAATGTTCAGCTGGCTGAGGCAGGAGGATTACAAGTTCGATCTAACCTGGGCTACATAGTGAGATGCTGTCTCAAAAACAGTGCAAAATGGAGCCTGAAGGTAGCACATGGCAACATGTGTGCTTAGCACATACAAGGCTGCAGGGGTCCAAGGGTATGGGCAAGAAATGGAGTACAGATGAAGGTATATAAGTTAATAAATAGCAAATACTTTTGTGTTTTCATTGTGTTAAGGCTAATAGACATTGATGAAGAAAAACATCATCCAAGCTTTGCATAGGCTTCTTATAGTATTAGACTATGATCAGGTAGACATTATAATGATTCTAAAATTATAGACTAGAAGATAAAATGCATAATGAAGAAACCAACCTAGATGATGAAGGAAGGCTTTGTAAAGAAATGAAGTTATTCTAAGAACTGAGCATGTGTTAGGATGGAGGAGGGTGTTTCAAAGGAACCAGAGTATTTCTCATTGTAGCAAGAAAGGACATCATACAGTTAAGAAACTAAAGAAAGCTAATAACCTAGAGATAGAGGGATGGAGGAGTTGAACTTTGGCAAGAGAGGTAGGCAGGCCAAGTGTGTTGGTTACTTACTGCTGCTGTGATAGGACACTATAACTGAGTGACTCATTGAAGAGTTCATTTTGGTTTAGAGTTTCAGAAGGGGAGTCCACAATGGCAAGGGAGGCATGGCAGCAGGTGGCTGGAGCAGGAAGCCGAGAGATCACATCTTCAACCCCAAACGTGAAGCATATAGAGGGAACTAGAAATGGGACAAGGCTATAAATTCCCAAAGCCTGCCCTCAGTGATAGTTCATCAAGCAAGGCTCTGAGTTCTAGAGACCTTCCTAAACAACTCCACCAACTGGGGACCAAGTGTCAAATACCTAAACCACCATACGAAGCAAGGGCTTTTAGGGCACACACAGGATTTTGGTCTTTATCATAGGGCAGAGGAAAGCCATGGAGGTGTATGTAGAATCAGAATTTGGTGCAGAAATATAATTGGATTAACAGTTTGCAAAGATGTAGTTGCTTCATGGTAAAGATTAGAAGGGGCCCAGGGGAAACACACGAATAATAATTATACCATTACTGTAGACCAGGGAAGAAGTGATAGTAATGTGGACTAAAAGGATGGCAGGCATAATGTTTTTAGAGTTAGGGCAGGTAGAAGCTAAAGTAGACAAAACATTGGTGATGAGTTAAATGTGAGACATGGAAGGCATTTAGGACACTCTGGTGCTAGTAATTGAAAGAGGATCTCTCAAAAGTGAAACAGATTTAAGGAACTTAGTGAAGTTGAGACAGTTCTGCCTTTGAGATATTTAAGTAAAGGCACTGAATTTTGGCAATGTGGACAGAGATAGCATGTTGTGATCTTTATAATGTATATAGTAATTTAAGAGCAGTGAACATTGTGAGGAAGAAAATACAGATTGAGAAAAGAAAATCATTTAAAACTAAACTTCAGGGGACTGGGAAGATGGTTCAGTGAGTAAAAGTGCTTTGCATGAAAGCCTGACAACCTGAGCAGGATCCCCATAGCATATGCAGAAGCCAGACATGGTGTATATCCATACTCCCAGCACTCCTATTGCAAGATGGGAGGTAGAGACAGAAGAATCCTCTGGAAGCTCACAGACCAGCTAGCCTGAAGTATGTAGTGCAATGGTAATAATAAGATACCCTGCCTCAGAAACAAGATGGAAGGCAAGGACTAAGACCCAAGAGGGTCCTTTGACCTCATGTGTGCCATTGCGCGTTTGTATCCTCACACAGAAACACGCATATACACATATTTTTTACAAATGTGAATTTTAAGCCTGTACACCTAGAAGTGACCAAAGAAGAGGAAGCTCAGGAAAGTCAGTTCATTGGTTTTTCAAGGAGGGAGTTATGGCAAATGCTGCTGAGAAGTCAAATGAGAGAAATTAATAAGGTTCTAAACAAATGTCCAAATAGTGATGGTGACAGTAGCAAAGAGCCAGGTTGGCATGTGGTATGGATCAGTAGAGATAGTAGATACAGCCATCTCTTTTGGAAAACTTGGCTGAGAAGGTGGCCTTTGCGAGGGAAATGGGAACATATAAGGCATGGGAGATACTTGACTGTTTATATAAAGTGGGGATGAGCCCAAAAAAGAAGGGAGAATTTGTACATCTAGCAGAACAGAGGATCCGTAATTGATGATGTGTTAGTATTCCTGGAAATTTTAAAGTCCTTAGTACAAGGGGAGGACTTCATGTTGAATCAGTGAGAAGATGTGGGTAAGGGTAGTAGGTTTGAGGCTCAATCTCAAAGGTATCGTACTGGATTGATGAAATATTTTTTTTGTGATACAGAATGGGTTGTAATTTTTCTGGTGTACAATATTCACTTTGAGGGCTGTAAGATTTAAAAGTTAATTGTGGAAAGAAAGTGAATTGACCGGAGCAACTTGGCAGATTTTGATAGAATAGTCATTAAAACATGAGAGTGTGAACATGGGGAATAAGTATATGAAGAAAAACAAAGAATATCCAGACTTAAAATTTATGAAGAAGATAAGTCAATAAAGGAGCAAGAATGATTGTTCGTAAAGATAGCAAGTATAACTGGTACAGGTTTGTCTCCTCTAAAAGAAGAGTTAACAACATGGTGCTTGACCAGAAGGAATAGTTCAGAAAGAAAAAGAAAAAGAAATGGTTTTAGATAGGAATTAAGTGAGCATCTTTTCTCTTTGCCTGTCTTCTCCCTCCGTTTCCCCTTTCTGCTTTCCCTCACGTTTTAGGCACAGTGCCTAATAAAGAGCTCAAGAGAGTCAAAGTCCAGCAGTAGTAGTGCTTTTCTCCCATGGAATTGGGTTCTGGCTATGCTCGTCTGGAATGCCAACTGTTGTTGATGAACTCTGTGGTCAGGAGGATTCTTGGGCTGCCTTGGAAGCTTAGCGAGGCAAAAGGCTACTTGTGGAGACATGCTTTCCATAGTGATAGTCATTTGGGAAACACCTCTAACAGGAAAGGAGGCTGTAAGTCCTCATTAGTTCTCTTACTGCTACCCCACAGCAATATTGTAGGTATTTCCAAGTCACATAACCATCTAACAATCCCAGATGTTAAAATCCATACATTTTATGTTAACTACAAAAAATTGGAAAATGCAAAAAAAAAAGCCATAATAAATTAACCACTTTCTCAGTCTACAGGTGTTAACATTTCTTATATTTTCCCCCCTCTTCATATGTAAACCTATATCTTTTGGTCTTTCCTTGAATTGTAACATAAATCCATTTACCTGGTTGCTGGAACTTATTTCCTTGAAGTAGTAACCTGCAGTTCTATCATCACTTAGTTTGATAATATTCTCTTGGTGTATAAATTTAATATGAATGTTCAAATAGTTTTAGTTTTAGTCAGTTCTTGAAAAAGTTTTTGTAGAGTCTAAAATTAGCTGTTGTCCCTTTGATATATTTAGACAATTTCTATAGAACTGACTTTTAATTCTTTATCTTATTTTAAGTATATTACTTCCAAAAATTACACTTTATGTGCAAACATTCTCAGGTTAAAAAAAAATCTATTAATATTACTGCCTTTTTTCTATCTTATTAGGATTTTTTCTGTGAATTTAGTGAACATTCACCATGTGTTCTTTCAAGATCTCTGTTACAAGTAAGTTCCATTTAATTTAAACATTAAATGGTATGTGGATTATCCTATCTTTTGATTGTTGAATAACAAGTAGGTGTGTTTAAAGGTTGTGCCATAGGTAGTGCTATATATTTCATTGTGTTTTGTTTTAACAATGCTAAGGATTCAACCTATATCCTTGTACTGCAGAGACTCACGGGAACCAAGGACAAGATTCGATTGTGCCAATGTCTTGACTGGAGGAAGAAGGGGAACTTAACCCTTTTTCTACAGGAAATATGATCAAAGTACATCGTATGTACTTTGGAAATGTCATAATTAAAACCATTATTTTGTCCAACTGTGATACACAAATAAAAAGTGGGGGTGGGCTAGGTCAAGGGTATTTAGAGGCCAATACACAAACAGAAAGGAATACAATTTTGTTTGCTCTGTGTAATCCTTTTAAAACTTCAATGAGTGGCTAACAGGATTAAAGTTATAGAGTTCCAAGTGGCTCCAATACTGGGATGCGTGTGAGATATTCAGGAAAAAAAAAAATTAGTTCATACAGTTACAGCTGCTTTTGTTAAGGTAGAAAAAAGCCCCATAAGATTAACGACTCAAAAAATAAAAATTCCTGGCTTGGTTGGAATCTTAACTTTCCAGTTTCTGCAGGTCAATCACCTGGTCATAGGACCACCCCAAGGAAGGTAGGTTCACCTTAAGTTAGGCTAAGGAGATGGGAGAATACCTAGTGTGTTAATGAGATAGTGAATTTTGCTTGCTCAGAATCCTGCCTCCTACTGCAGTTCTCGTGGATCTGGGTCGCAGACAGGTTGGCTCTCTGTAAGTCCTGCTGATTTTCTGAATTCTTCAGAAAAGTAGAATTATTCTCCTTTTCTTCTTCATATGTCTTTTCTCAGTATCCTTTCCCTAATGCTTTGGGCTGCCCCAGCAGCTTGTATTTCTTTACTTTTTCTCTAAAGCTTCCTCCCTACCATGTGGCTGCCAGTCTGCCAATGTCTGACCTCTATGCAGGCTCTAAACAGCATGGCTTCATGGCTTTTTCCCTTCTCCCCTCCATTGTCCTCTTTGGGGCAGCTGCCAAGATTCCCAGCTTGCCTGCCCTGAAGATTTTTCCTTAAATTCTAATAAAATTGTCCTAAAGCCTCTGTTTGAGTCTGTTCTTAAATTCTTTTATGAATAAGACTAAGAGCCCTCTAGCGGACACTGTTTCTCCCCTGTATTGCTATTAGTCCAAAATTCAGACTCCAGCCCTGGTGAAATACAGTTTGAGTTGGTCTGTGTGTTGTGACTTTGTGCTGTCAGTCTAATAGGTATTAAGTAGCATTGTAAAAATAAAATGCTGGATGGGGTGGCACATACTCATAATTGCAGTTCTTGGGAAACAGATGCAGGATGTTTGAGGATATCCTTTTACATGGTGAGACCCTGTGTTAAAAACAAGAAACCCTCAAAAATATAAATGCACACAAGAAATTGTAAAAGTAGTGCAGAAACGACTTTCTCTCTTGTGTACTATTCACGCACATCTTGAGTGTGTGCTGTCTTTTTCCTAAGCATTCCTGTCTCCCCTAATGCCTAGGCTTAAATTTGTATTAAAACTATTTCTTAATGAACCCCAACTTTTCTTCATACTAAAAAAGAGGAAAAATGAAAGAGGCCTGTATAGCAATCATGCAGGACCACCCCAGTGTCAACATCACCCAGGACCCCCCACGAGTGTCAACACACTCCATAACTATAGCTCATTTGCAGTTTCAGCAAACTGATATTGGTGTGATACCTTTAACTGCTACTGACTTGAGACTTTACCAGGATTTTACTGACCTCAGTATACACATTTCTCTATATGTCAGTGCTCCTTCTCATGCACAGATTTGTATAGCCATCCTCACAATCAAGATACAGAACTGCTCTCTTACCCAAGAGATGGCATTCCCCCACCCCCATCCTGTTCACATTCTCTGGAATTTGATGATCTACTCTCTATTTGACAACATTGGGGGGGGTCTTTTTGAGACAGGGTCTCCCTGTAGCCCCAGCTGTCCTGGAACTCACTATGTAGACCAGGCTGGCCTTGAACTCACAGAGATCTGCCAGTGATCTGCATCATGAGTGCTGGGATTAAAGGCATGCACCACCATGCCCGGCTTAAATGACATTTTTAAAAAAGGAAAAGAACAGAATGAAAAAGAAAACATCAAATGCATCTCAAAGGGAAGAGAAAAGTTTTGTTTCCGGCAACTTGTACAGAAATGTATGTGTGTGCACTGCTCCCAGGAGACATGTCGGTTGAATGGAGACACATTCCTTTGCCTGAGAGCTGCCGTCGTCCTCCAAGTCTTTGATTAATAACTCTTTGCTTCACATTTGGATGGAACTTCACCATCTGGACCCTACATTTTGGAAAACTGTGTTCAGATCTGTAAACCTGGGTCCCAAGGGAACAAAACAAGGAACCATGGTGTGTGTGGTGGGGGCAGCGTACGCTACATCTTACACATTCTGAGCTTCCCCCTGGCTGTGAGGGCCAAAGCCAGGAGAAGTCAGGAGATAAGCGTGCCCCCAATTCTATTGATTCCCCAAATGCTGTTCCTGGAGGTTTGTTTTTTTTTTTCATTCTGTGCCACTGGTATGTGGGGGCACACTCAGATAATTTCAGGAACATTTAAAAGATCCACTACATTTTAAATAAGATATGTTCTTTAAAAGACTATGTAGGTGTTCCTTCACTTATGGTGGGGTCATGATCTGCTAAACACATAATTTGAAAATACCATAAGTAAAAAAAAATGTGGTTCTATGGAACACATTGAAATTAAAAGATTTCTACTAAACGTGTATCATGTGTGAGCCATCGTAAAATTGATAAATCATTAAGTCAAACCATCACAAAACTATCTCATACTATTCCATCTATTCATACTAGTGTCAGGGATGATTTTTTCACAATATTTTACCAAGGTATGTCTATCTGGTTAGGAAGCAAATGAATAGGTAAGAGTTCTCATTTGTTTTCTTCTTTGTAATGAGTTAAAGAAGCACAGTGCATTGTGAATGGCATGGATTTGGCAACTTTGTCATATGCTTTCAAAAACTCAAGCAAGATTCCTCCATAGAGAATTTTTTGGCGTCCTGGTAGTCATGATGTTGATGGGATTCTGCTCACAAGATAGTGATGGCGATTTCAGTGTGAGAGGCAGTGATGAATGGATGGGTGCCTAATCTAATTTTCATTTGTTTGCTTTGTTTTGTTTTAAACAAAACAGGTAGCCTTGAACTCATTATATAGACCAGGGTGGACTTCGACTTGAAGTAATTCTCCTGGTTCTGCCTCGTTGTAGATGTGAACCACCATTCCTGGTTTGAGTGTATCCCTGGCCATACTTTCTTCATGTTGTTGTAACACTTGGACATGAGTTTGAAATATGTCCCACAACATGCCATTGATCCATTTACCAATCAGTGAAGGGAACCATCTAGAGCTGAGTAGGCCACTCTAGGGGACTGAGTTGTTCACAGTAGAGTGGGCCATCTGAACAGATATGAATAGGCAGATTTTGAAAAAAACTATTTTAATGGGATTTTTGCAATTTTCATATAATTTGATGGTGTTTAAATTCCCCCATCTACACCTCCCCTTATTGCCCCCAATCCACCAATTTAATGTATTCACACAAACACACACACACACACAGCCTAATTTGTGTCCCTCTTAAATGTCCTTCAGTGTGGGACGATCCCCTGGAGCCTGGTTAACCCACCAAGAATCCCATGATTGAAGGAGACTGCCTCTGCCCCTCCCAGCAGCCATCTGTTCCCACAGCTTCCTTACATGGGGTTGGAGCTGCTTCTCCACTTCCTCATGTCTATGTTGTGAGTAGGCAGTTTTTGAGGCTGAGACTTTGTAACAGCTAGTCTGGAATTATTGATTCATTCAGGTCTCTAAAAATACTAAATACTTCTCTATAAGATGCTACTTTAAAACTTCCTATAATCACTGAGATGGCCTCTTCTGAAATTACCTTTCTTTATATCAAACTCTACTGGAGCAGTCTTCATTTGTATCACTGCTTGAATTCATTTTATAAAAACAGTATGTCCTGTTTACTGCTAGTTTCTTTCCACAATACAATGAAGACAAGTGCATATATTTGGATTATATGCAAGTTTATTCATTTTCCTAAATGCATAATCAAAATTCTTGTTATTGGCCATTGCCTGTTCTGTGAGGGCAATCGGGGCATGTATCTATAGCCCCAAGTAGCCTTTTTTACTTACCTGGCAGCTCCCTTGTGCTGTGCACAGAACAAACATCCAGTCTGTATCCATCCTGGGTAGCACATCTCTCCAGCTTCTGTTTCCTTGTTTCTTTTAATAGGGGATCTCACTAGGTTGCCCAAGATACCTACACATTCCCAATCCTCTTATCTCAGGCTCCTGAGCAGATGGGACTATAGACTTGAGTCACAGTGCCCAGCTCCCCTGCATCTCTTTATTTAATCAAACATGCACAAAACATTATCCCACAGTACAGGTTCTTGTCAATCAGCAATGACAAGGCCATTCATACTCCTCCCTCATTCAAGTACCATGGGATTTCCCCAAGTGTCCTTCCAGGCTAAGGTATTTAAGAGTTGCGTGCCTGCTCCATCTCTTTCCAAGCTGCAATGATGGTAGAAGACACTTATGCTATGTGACATTCTACAACAGGCTGTCTAATTGTATCACACTTTGCAAAGATGGACTGAGGGTGTGATGTTCCACATCACCCAGCCTGACATGTCATATGTGCCGAAAGCTGATTCCTACTTTGGACACAGACATTTTCAGCCACCTATAAAATGAAATACCTGATACTTACAGGAGAGCTACCATGATCACAAAGGTAGTTTTCCCAGAGAGAGGCTTATCCATTGCACTCTAGATGTGCTGAATCCTGCGATTTCCCTATTTCCCCAAACGTGGGATGCTTAAATGCCTAATTTGTTGTAGTGGGGGACTGTGTTCATACTCTCCCCTATTAAAAACAATAAAATAAAATATCTGTTATACATATATGATAGAAATGGCTTTTCAACATTGAAAGTCACTACATTTTATATGATGAACATAGCAATATTTTATAAAGGAATTTTGTGAATAATGCTTATAAATTTGGACATAATGTTTATAAATTTGGGTGGGTTTTGGAAGATTCTTGCAGCAAAGCAAGCTACCTGTTTGGGGTACAAAGAGTAGGGGTGGGAATGATTGCAACAGAATTACATAGTGTAAAGCATTATTTTGCACTTGCTTTAGAAAAACTCAGTTGTTCTACTGGAACCCTCGCGTATGTGTGTGTGTGTGTGTGTGTGTGTGTGTGTGTGTAAATAAAACTCCTACAAAATTTCACCAAAAACCACACAGTAAGAACCAAGGAACTACATCAGACTTGAATTTTCCCTTTGTCTCTTATATGAAGGGATTACTTGTTTGACTCACACAGACTCACTCTGTGTTCACAAGAGGTTCCTACTCGCTGTTTATGTTTGGATGCTTTTCTGAACTGTAGTTTATACTATTGTGCTAATTCTTTTCTTCTTTTTCCCAGAGAACCACTTTTATACAGATTACAAATTGGGAAAGTAAAACAACTGTCCTAGCCCAGATCTTCCAGAAAACAGAGCCTGAACTAGGATTAAAGTGCTGATGGTCTGTTTGGGAGAGAAACACCAACACAGTGAGGAAGAGTCCAAAACGATGTGATGCAAGACATGACACAATACTGTACTGTCCAGGACACCGCAAACAGCCACTGAGGGCAATGGCACAGTGTGCCTCTGGATAGTCCCTCCCCAAGGAGGGCTCCTTCAGAAGGGCCACGACTTCATAAAAGAGGTCATAAGTATATGCCCAACTCGTTCTGTCTTTTGCATCCCTATGGTCAATGTACTTAGCTAGTCAAGTG